AAGATAAAAACATTGTTACCTAGTAGGATGATCTTGCCCCTTCCTCCCAAGAGAAATCTAAGGAGAAAGGGAAAGGCCCTCAACTAGAGGTCGATTATAATATGTTGGCTCATCTAAGGAAAACCTTTCTCTTCTTAGCATTTATAATACTTTAATGATGTCCCCCAACTTGCGAGAGCATTGGTGAAAGCCTTACTCGAACTAGAGTCCTATCAACCATTCTTTGCTTCCAATTTTGTTGGGGATACATGCCATTTTAGAGAGATGCCATGCATTATCTTTTCATATTGTGATATTCTTTTGGAGGCTTCTGACCATATCCATCCCCTGTATGTCATTGTTGAGGTCAATAGTTATGAGTTGAATAGGTTCCTCATCAACCATGAGGCTTCAATAAACATCCTTATGAAACTTTAAAGGGCCTCTTCCTAGGTCACTTGAAGCTTGCTTTCAATAAGATCATGTTGAAGGGCTTCAATGACCAAGGCCAGCATGCTCTAGGGTCTATTACCTTACCCCTGAAGTTTAAAAATATCCTAGTTGAGGCAAAGTTTTAATGTAATTGAGGCTGATACTTCATACAAGGCTCTTTGGAAGGCCTTGGATCCACGAGTATAGAATGGTGCCTACTACCTTGCACTAATGTATGAAGTATATAAGGAATGATGTTGAGTATTCCATTCCTGGAGATACCAAACCCTTTTTCGTGTAAGAGGTTTCTATTTACGATGATGTCTAGTATTATAATTTTTGAAAGACTCGTAGACCTCCACCTGCCCAATCACCAATGATATTCGCTAGTGTTGTATAGAGTCTTATATAGTCACCTGTACAGGGTCTTATATAATCGCCAGTATAGGGTACATCATAGGTTAGTATTGAGGAAGGTATTTCCACTGTACATTCTGATAGAGCTCCTTTTTTGTTTTTAGTGAGGCATGACATTCCCCCTAATAGAGGTAGGGGAGGATGATGTAGAGGTAGAGGTAGAGAGTCAACCCATGGACCACAAAACTATGACAGTTGGATTCCTCCTCCCTCACACCTTTACACTTATTCTTTGACTGTTGAGTCTGACTCCTCAGATGATGAGATGATCAATAACCTTCATCATTCAGTCTCCTCACCTACCCTAGGTTCTACCAATTATGATTCACTTCCTTCCTTTTGTAGATACCTGATACCTTAGAGTGGATTAGTTGTTGACAGTAGCTCAGACGAGGAAGAAGACTTTTGATGTCAGACTACTAGTGGACAACCTATTCCCCATCAGATATACGTGATAAGAGTTGGGAATTCCTATCAAAGACCTTATGACACTTCTTCCACAAGTGATAGTAGTTCACTACATACAAATTATCATCCTATACCTCCATTATACGAGACATTCGGTCCAATACGGTCTAAGGAGTGTGCCTCATTATCCTATAGTGTAGGTGTTCCGCTAGGTCCTACGAGTCAGGGCCGGAGGAGACCGCTATGGATATAGAGGTTATGAGTATCCCACATTACTTTTTTACTATTATAGAGGGCTATGTAGAGTGAGGTTTAGTTTCTTCAATTTGGTTCGATGAACAAGCTCTACAGTAAGCCCGAGTTTGGCAAACTTATCTCCCTCAAACCTTAGAAGGAGTGGGTTATATGATGCAGAGTTAGCCTACTCATGCCTTCCTTTATGTTGTCTCTCACTTTCATCTGTTTGTTTCTCTCTCCAATGAAGAAGACCCGGATAAATTACTATGCTTGAGTTCAGCATGCCATAGGAGGAACTTCCCTACCTCCTACAAATATTCCTCTGTATATGTACCCTCTGAAAGGAGCCCTCTTACTTTTTGGCACTATGTGTGGTCACGATGATTTGTCCTCTACCACACGATGTTCATTACAAAGAGTATAAGGTCATCCTTGACGGTGATACGCTAATACGCCGTAGGGATATTAGTGCTTATGTCTGTGTACACCGACCATATTGGTGTTAGCACATAAAATCTTTGATTTGTCCTCCCTTTATGAGGATTTTTTCTTACACCAGTTTTTCTTGGCACCCCTAAGTGTGGTCTGGAATAGCAAAATCAATGATACAAACTTTCTCTGAGATGCGATACTGGGTCCATAATCACCTATGCTAGTCTGGTGAGGCTATGTCGATCCACTATCTCTATGTTATTTCTTCCTCATATCAATTTTCTTTACAACTATGCTCCCCAGTTCGTTCATATGAGTTGAACGGAGTCTGGGATATTAAAATCATTCACATAAATTTCTTTGTGAAATGGGATATTGGATCCATACCAACCCACACTAGTTGGGAGTGGCAATGTTGATATACTTTCCATATAAATTTCATTCATATGTTTGATTTTATTATGATGGTGCTCCCCAATTTCATTTGTGTGATGGATGTGGCCTAGGTTGTATAAGCCAATATTTTGATTCTTTATAAAATTCCATCTAATTTCTCTTTCCTTAGTTTTGTTCATGTGGCGAACATGGCCTGGGTTATCAAAGCCAACCTTATATCCTTCTCTTTATGTTCTAGTTGTCGATTGTGAACATATAAAAAAAATATGTAATAAAAATAAAGAAGAGAGGAAGCTCTAGGTTGAGCAAAATCAATTTCCCTTATCACAGGTGGAACCCAACTTTACTCTCTAAGAGCCCAATTTCTCCATCTCTTCTCTTCTACTATTTTGATGTAACAAAAATGAAGCTCTAAGTTGAGTGAAACTGGTTTCCCTTGTCACAGGTGGAACCTGAATTTATTGTCAAAGAGCTCAAACTCCTCCTTCTTTCTGCCACTTTAAATGTTTTGATAATGTTGCATAAGGAATTTCTCTGATATTTGGATACCCATGGCCATGACATTTTGTCCTCTACCACGAGATAACTAGAAGTTGGTTTGGGAACTCTTAAACAAATTTTTCCCTAAAAGTTTTTTTGTAATTACCTTTACTTTTTCCCTCACATCCCTACACAGATCTGTGGCAAGTTGGTGTTGTGGTGACTTTCACCTTCCTCATCTGCTGCACCAAAGTGGTTGGGTAGGTGTTGGAACTTTCCTGGTTGAGAGAGCCCGATGGAGTCCTTGAGAGGCATTCCTCACAACTTTTTTCTATTCACATCATTACAGGAATATATGCTAGGTGATTGTGTTGAGTGATTCGTCTTTATCCTACTGTAGGCATATGTGCCGGGTAGGTACTCTACTGCACACACATACACCGGGCAGAGGTGACTGTTGATCTCATTTTGTATGAGGTCACCTTGCGCTACAATAATCCGAGCCTACAATCAATCTTGCAATCGACCTCTCTTCGACTCATTTTTGAATTTGATTCTCCTCGTCGTTGCATGTCGATTGTGAATTTGAGCCGACCAATTCGTAGTCAATTTAAAGCTCCATGGCTTTAATCGACTCAATTTAATGTCTCTCGAGTCAAATCAATTTCGATTATTACAAACTAACTTGGCCCATTTAAATTGAAATGTTGCATTATTAATTTAGTTTTGTATAATTCTACCCTTTTTCTCTCATTTAACTCTTAAAATCTCTTTGATTTTAGCATTTGATATTAACCATCCAATCATCTTTTGAAGGGATGATGGTCTCTTGATTTTTATAATAGCATTAGGGCGTTGGTTTTTAGGGAGGACTCTACGATCAATCAATTCTCAGAAGCAGCCGCCCCTTTGGAGATACCTCCTACCCATTTCGGAGCTGCTAGGGCCGGGCAAGCTCTCCTCGTGATTCCAGCTGCTACCTCCTTGTCTCAAGCCGTCCAAGCAAGAGGAAGAAGAAGAAGGTCTATGAATAGATCCGTCCATCGTTTTCCTTGTACAGCAGATTTCAACCAGCTTATTTAGCAAATTTTAGCTGTCCACCTCCAATGTCCTTGCCCTGCCGTGAAACCTTGAATTAAGCCGGTTATCTCACTGTTTTTGTGTGAAAATTTCTACAGATTTGGACAATTTCTCACTGTTTTTGTGAGGATTTTGTACAGACTTTTATCATATAAATATTCTTGAATCAATCAAGCTTTCTCACTGTTTTTTGTGTAAAAATCGCTACAGATTTTGGATAAATTCTCATTGCTTTTTGTATAAAAATTCCTATAGTTTTTGGATAGTTTCTCATTGATGTTTTATATAAAAATTCCTACAGATTGTGATTCATCCCTTTTTGTTTTTGTGAGGAATTGATGCAGATTTTTATAAATAATTACACCTTGTTTTATAGTGTTTTCTTTTTCACTGATTTTATGAGGGATCAATATAAGTTTTTATCAAGTAACTTCACCTTGTTTCATTCATGCGATTTGTAAGAAAATGAATACATTATTTGATGCTTTTATGTGCTTACTCATCTATATATTTTTCCTCTATTTTCTTCATGCCCATTCATGAAATTTGTGTCAATTAGATCAATATAACCTAACTGAGAACAAATAACACAACAATCTCTATATTCATCTAATTGACACAAATTTCATGAATGGGCATGAAGAAAATAGAGGAAAAATATATAGATGAGTAAGCACATAAAAGCATCAAATAATGTATTCATTTTCTTACAAATCGCATGAATGAAACAAGGAGAAGTTACTTGATAAAAACTTATATTGATCCCTCATAAAATCAGTGAAAAAGAAAACACTATAAAACAAGGTGTAATTATTTATAAAAATCTGCATCAATTCCTCACAAAAACAAAAAGGGATGAATCACAATCTGTAGGAATTTTTATATAAAACATCAATGAGAAACTATCCAAAAACTATAGGAATTTTTATACAAAAAGCAATGAGAATTTATCCAAAATCTGTAGCGATTTTTACACAAAAAACAGTGAGAAAGCTTGATTGATTCAAGAATATTTATATGATAAAAGTCTGTACAAAATCCTCACAAAAACAGTGAGAAATTGTCCAAATCTGTAGAAATTTTCACACAAAAATAGTGAGAAAACCGGCTTAATTCAAGAGTATTTAAATGATAAAATCTGTGCCAAATCCTCACAAAAACAGTGAGAAAACTTGATTGATTCAAGAATATTTATATGATAAAAGTCTGTACAAAATCCTCACAAAAACAGTGAGAAAACTTGTTTAATCCTATAGTAATTACATGATAAAAATATGTACATGCTATTTAACTTTCAAGAGAAATCAAGCAAACCTTCTTCCAAATTTAGAAGGATAGATCGTGGAAAGAAGGGAATATCCTGCTACATGTATGGCCGGCCAGCTGGTCCCTTCCTCTCCTTTGCTTGAACTTAGAGAAAATGAATAGAATGAGTTGCCTTAAGTTGCTGTGACCGTGACAAAGCAAACGTCAACTTCCTTCATGTCTTCTTCCAAAAGAAACGAACAGCAAGCAAGCCTTCTTTCTCTCTTCGTTAATGGACAGCAGCTCTGGATATTAGAAAGAGGAGCTGCTTAGTCTGTTTGTTGAAGAGGTTTCACGGCAGGGCAAGGACATTGGAGGTGGACAGCTGAAATTTGCTAAAGAAGCTGGTTGAAATCTGCTGTACAAGGAAAACGATGGACGGTTCTATTCATAGACCTTCTTCTTCTTCCTCTTGCTTGGACGGCTTGAGACAAGGAGGTAGCAGCTGGAATCACGAGGAGAGCTTGCCCGGCTCTAGCAGCTCCGAAATGGGTAGGAGGTATCTCCAAAGGGGTGGCTGCTTCTGAGAATTGATTGATCGTGGAATCCTCCCTAAAAACCAACGCCTAATGCTATTATAAAAATCAAGAGACCATCATCCCTTCAAAAGATGATCGGATGGTTAATATCAAATTCTGAAATCAAAGAGATTTTAAGAGTTAAATGAGAGAAAAAGGGTAGAGTTATACAAAACTAAATTAATAATGTAACATTTCAATTTAAATGGGCCAAGTTAGTTTGTAATAATCAAAATTGATTTGACTCGAGAGACATTAAATTGAGTCGATTAAAGCCATGGAGCTTTAAATTGACTACGAATTGGTCAGCTCAAATTCACAATCGACATGCAACGTCGAGGAGAATCTAATTCAAAAATGAGTCGAAGAGAGGTCGATTGCAAGATTGATTGTAGGCTCGGATGATTGTAGCGCAAGGTGACCTCATACAAAAATGAGGTCAACAAATGGACCCCCAACATGTGTGATGAACTAGAAGAGTAAGTCACATATGTTGGTGTTGACCAAAATGATCAAGATAGTCTAAATGAATTCAGATTTGATTTAGGTTTTGAATTTCAGATTTACAAGAGTTTAGATTTCATATTTTTTTTGCATGTTTTGTTGTTAAGTTTTGAAAGTTTGAATGATTGATAAGAATTTGATAATGAAGGGTGCTCTACAAAATTGTGACTAAAGGAATTTAGCACAATCAGCAAAGCAAATATATAGCATGAAGGAATTTGAAACATGAGTTTGATAAATGATTTGAATGGAAGAGTTTAATGGTTGAATTCAATGATTGAGTTGAATGGAAGTGTTGAATGATTGTTATCAATGATAAGACTCAAGTCTTCTTTCTAACTCAGAAGAATAGAATGACAACACATGGGGAGTCATGCCTATCCCAAAATGTTAGAGGGCGTCTTCTAAGAAAATGGGGCAACCTATGGAATGGATTGCATCTAATCTTAGAAGGTTTAAAATTTAAGTTTTACTAGGATGGTGCCACGAGGGGCATTCTCCAACTCTAGTGGATGATCGTAAGGAAAGGATGCCTAAGTGTGGGGACTCACACCCAACCTCAGAGGATCAGAAGATCATATGAAAAGGAAGCCTAAGTGTGGGGACTCACACCTAATCATAGAGGATCAGAGCAGGCGCAGGACCTAACCGATAGATCGATTATCGAAAAGGTTTGATTTTGAACCTTGACTGGAAGATCGATTTTCAGAAAAAGCCAAAATAGGAACAGGAGATCAATTCCCGAAAAATAGGCATCAGGACCAAACCGATAGATCGATTATCAGAAAGGTTGATTTTAAACTTTGACTGGAAGATCGATTTCCAGAAAAAGCTAAAATCGAAACGGGAGTCGATTCCCGAATAAGCAGGCATCAGGACCTGACCGATAAATCGATTATCAGAAAGGTTTGATTCTGAACCTTAACTGGAAGATTGATTTCCAGAAAAAGCCAGAATCAGAATGGGAGATCGATTCCCCAAAAGCAGGCATCAGGACCCAACCCATAGATCGATTATCGGAAAGGTTTGATTCTGAACCTTAATTGGAAGATCGAATTCCAAAAAAAGCCAGAATCAGAATGGGAGATCGATTCCAAAAAAGCAGGCATCAGGACCCAACCGATATATGGATTATCGGAAAGGTTTGATTCTGAACCTTAACTGGAAGATCGATTTCTAGAAAAAGCCAGAATCAGAATGGGAGATCGATTCCCAAAAAGCAGGCATCATGACCCAACCGATAGATCGATTATTGAAAAGGTTTGATTCTGAACTTTAACTAGAAGATCGATTTCCAGAAAAAGCCAGAATCAGGATGGGAGATCGATTCCCAAAAAGCAGGCATCAGGACCCAACCGATAGATCGATTATCGGAAAGGTTTGATTCTAAACCTTAACTGGAAGATCGATTTCCAGAAAAAGCCAAAATCGAAACGGGAGATCGATTCCCAAAAAGTAGGCATCAGGACCCAACCGATAAATCGATTATCGGAAAGGTTTGATTCTGAACCTTAACTGGAAGTCGATTTCCAGAAAAAGCCAAAATTGAAACAGGAGATCAATTCCCGAAAAGCAGGCATCAGGACCCAACCGATAGATCGATTATCGGAAAGGTTTGATTCTGAACTTTAACTGGAAGATTGATTTGCAGAAAAAGCCAGAATTAGGATGGGAGATCGATTCCCAAAAAGCAGGCATCAGAACCCAACCGATAGATTGATTATCAGAAAGGTTTGATTCTGAACCTAACTGGAAGATCGATTTCCAGAAAAAGCCAAAATCGAAACGGGAGATCGATTCCCGAATAAAAGGTGCAAGAGCTTGATTGAAAGATCGATTTTCAACCACGCAAATGCAAGACAACCTAACTGAGAGATCGATTCTCAGAAAGGCCAAACTGGACTCTGAATGGGAAATCGAATCCCAAACAAAGGATGGATACTTGAATGGGAAATTGATTCCCAACCAAGTGAATTTAGATTAGATATTCAAATAGGTAGAGTAGAGGTTAGAGTGGGGACTGTAAAGAAGCTTAATGGTTGAAGTAAATTTGAAGGAATCTTCTAAAACTTGTTGTGATTCAACTGATGCAGCAGAAGTAAGATTGGCTGACGTAGTTTCTATGACTCGGAGTAGTTGGTACACATTTCTTCTATCAGGGCAAGCATTTATCATATCAGAATCTCTGCTCTATTGGGAGAAATTTTTTTTTTTAAACGCAAAAGTGGTTTCAGTATAGCAGCAACAAAAGCTCATATATCTGAACCTGTCTTTGTATCTTTATCCAAACATGTCACCAAAGGAACCCCTATTAGCTGCCGGTGCAAAATGTGCTGAGACTCTAATACAAAGCTTTCAGCTTTGAAATGTACAACCTCCAGTTTCACTAATTTCTCATGATTTACTGGAAGCCTGGGAATCATGCTGATTATATCCACTAAATTGTTGAGCAAACTGGGCATGCTTTGTCTTGAATGCACGGGATGCAACTGATGTTCTTCCAGATGACCAAAGTTTTCTTAGCAAGTCTCCAAGTGAAAGTGCAAGCTCCCAGCCCATCTAGGATTTAATGTGAGTAGCATTTGCTTTCACGAAACGTGAGACTTCTTGTGTGACGTCTTCGTAGTAAGCATCAGCTATACGAGCCTCAAGCTTTAAGACCAACTGCAATGACCTTAGAAGCTCATCAGCCAGGCTCTCTTTCTATGGAAGTAGCAGCTGCCAAATTCTGAGTGTACCAAATACTGCCTTCTCTACAAGAGCACTAGGCATCACAGTAGACTGAACTATGTTGGCTATGTGGTCGTACACAGCCTGCCAGAGGAGAAAAATTCTCTCTATTATTCAATGTGATGACAGTGGGCAGCTCCAAGCAGAAAAATAGCCAGGTAGAGCCGGTCCAAGCTGGACCGGCATAACAGTATCCTCATCATCAGGTGAACATGTAATCTTCTAAGGCCTACTAGCTGCGCAGACAACAGCTCCAGCAAGATGTAACAGTGAATCAGCATGAAGGAATTTGTTCTCCGCGAATATGCTATCTAGGTAGTCGTCTGAAGGGTTTTCTGATAAGCAGCCAGTTTCTGCTCAGTTGGTTGTGTCCATTGCCAAGGATACATGCAGGAAACCCTGCTAAAGTCACAAGGAAAAAACTTTGGCTTTGAGTCTTCTGGTATGTTTCCTAAAGAATCTCCACCGTGCTGAAAGGAGGAAGTGGTGGCTGATTGCACACTGCCGTTAATACAGTTTACCATTTATAGGAAGTCTAAGAAGTGTCTTGCCATTACCATTTGCAATAATTTTTACACCTAAAGGATCAACAATGACTGCTGCATTTACCACCTTACCATTAGGAGTTCTCATCAACCTCATGGCAAACTTTATGTACTTGACAATCAATTGTGATTCCTCTTCAGCAAATCTGTTAAGCTCATAAGGAATTGTTGATAGATGGTAAGCTCATAAGGAATTGTTGATAGATGATATGATGTTGGCCAGAGCTTGCATTGTTCCTTCCTTTCTTCCTTCAACAATGCAGCATATTTTGCAACTTTTGTCTTGTATGGACTCAACTGATAGGTATTTGCAAGCTGAAAAACACCATTCAGCATTCCCGTACAAAGACTTTCATGTTCATTCTGATGGCATAAAATGATGGACAGTTCCACTTTTCCTTCCACCGATCTCTTATGTACCCTTTTCACATGGCGTAGATTCTCAAGTGAACAAATTTGATTCAGCTGCATTACAATAAGAGGTAATAGGGAGCAAAGCTACCATAGCTGCTGGCATGCCATTAGGAATAGTTTGGTCATCGGTAAATGATACTTGACTTGAGTCTGATAGCTATGACATTGCTCTACAAGATCAACAATAACTTCTTGCTTGACATTATCTGGACTTTGCATATCCAATGCATTAAGCATCTCTGATAGCACATCAGTTATGCCTCGAGCAATTTTGATCATGGTGTCAAGCACTCCGCTGCCCTGAACACTTGTGTCTCTGATCCCACCCCTGCTCCCTCCTGGACCTAGCATGACTCTGACTGTGTCCATGCTTTGATTCCAAGGATCTTGAAGGGGTTCTTTCAGGACTCCAAGTTTCTGAATCTCTGGATTTGCCAACAACCTCTACTCTTCCTGTTGATCGACCTTGAACTGTAGGATAAGAACACTCAAATGGGGGGAGTGGTTCCCAAATGATCAAAAGGATATGAACACTCAAATGGGAGGTGATTCCCAAATGAGCAAAAGGATATGAACACTCAAATGGGAGGTGATTCCCAAATGAGCAAAAAGATATGAATACTCGAATGGGAGGTGGTTCCCAAATGAGCAAACGGATACAAATTACTCAACAAAATCCAACATGAAAGGCTACCACAAAGGGAATTGCAAGATTTATTAAGGATGGAAATTAATCAAATGTTTGGGATCCACAAATTTTAGTGCATGAATTTTCAAAATCACAATGAGAACATTTACACAAACTCATTAAAATGAAATCATTTTGAAATGCTTATATATATATTAGAGAATGAAAATTTTGTTCCTTTTATTGAAAATTTTCCTCTTAAATCATTGGACCCGATCAAAAAGTGATAAAAAGGGACCAAATTCAAAATTATGGTGAGTAGTAAATTGACTCCATCTGAACCATATAAATTTAAAAATATATTTTATTTACCTAGATCAAGCTCCTTAGAAATTGAACTAGGATTTTCTCCCTCATATATACATTTTAATTAAAAGTCTAAATCAAGAACTTTTAAATTAGGAAAAGAAATTGGATCTTTCCAATTTTCTTGCATGAGATATATTCTTATATTTAATAGAACATCATTGCATAATGATGAATCTAAGATTAAAATTTTCATGATCAAGTATCAAAACATCAAAGGAGATGAGTTTCTGAGATTTAAAGAATTAAAAGGAAGAGAAGCCATTTACTTATTTCCCCTTTTTGGCACACTTTGTGCATTTTCATTTTACTTTTAGTGCACTTTGCGCACCTTTTGATTTTGGGCACATTTTGTGCCTCTTTTTTTTGTGGCACACTTTGCGCATCTTTTTTATTGGCTCGTTTTCCTAAAAATCTTTAAGAGAAGACATTCTCAGTTGTAAGATTTCCTTCCAAGCATAAGAGAGGAAACCTGACCCTCTTATACGAGGAAGAATAATCTACAAGGCAACTCAAACCCAAGGATAAGATTGAATAGCTTAATTAAGAAAATTATAAAATAGATTTATAAACATGCTAAGGATGCCTATGAGATATAAAATTGCAAGAAAATAGAAAATATTTTCATTTCTTAATCTAATTTTGTTTTGAAGTGAATTTTGATTTAAAATGTATAATCAACCCACGCAAGTGGTGGGAGGGAGAGGATAAAATCTTTTTATTATCAGAAATATGATAGATTTTTTTTAGATGGTTAGAGGAATCAAATACAACTCACTTCACATTTCAAAGAGAAAAGAGGTGAAATCTTCATTAAGAAAAACAAACTAACCATTCTCTAAAAAAAATAAATAAATATCCCAAAATTTTACCACATTTTAAGTTTTGAACTTTCCTCAAATTAGTCTTATTTTAATTTTGAAAATTTTGCATATGTAAAATTTATGGACCCCGTCATGAAAATTGATTTTAGATTTTATTTGGAAAGATTTAAAGTAGGACCCAGTCTGAAAGGACCATAGGGATTATTGAATTTAAAGTTTGAGATTGATTTCAAGGGTTTGAAAAAGAATCCAATTCTCATGATTGAACTGGAGGGGGAAAGATTGAAGCTTGATTTTGAGATTTAATTGCGCTGATTTCTTTGAAGGACCCTTGTCCTTGGGTTTTCAGATGAAGAAGAGAGAGTTTGAAATAATTTGGATTTAGATGTAAATAAAGAGCTCAAAAACATGATTTTTACACTAGTTTAACTTGGAGATTTACATTCTAAAGATTGAAATTTATATAAGCATGAAAGACTATATACATGCAACACATACAAAATTATATATATGTAAAATTATATGCATATAATACATGCAAAATTATATACATTCTACACCATACAAATGCAACATGTACCAAAACACATATGCAAGGCCATTTATGTGCAACACATACAAAGTATCCACATGCAAAACTATACACATACAACACATGCAGAAATATACACAAGAAAAACTATACCCATACAAAACACATGCAACACATGTACACATCCAACACTATACACATGCAACACATGCCGGAGTATACACAAGTAACACTATACGCATGCAAAAGTATACTCATGAAAAATAATATATATACAACACATGCAAAATTATATACATGCAACACCATATGCATACAACAATATACGCATACAAAACAATATACATCGAACACATGCAAAAGTATACACATGCAACACATGTACACATCCAACACTATACACATGCAACACATGTCGGAGTATACACAAGTAACACTATATGCATGCACAAGTATGCACATTCAACACATGCATAGTTGTATTCATATCATATCATCTCACATGCAAGACTATACATAGATATCGCATACATATGCAACATTACAAAACATGCAAAGTATGTAAAGCCATAAACATGCAAGACTATACACAGATAATGCATACATATGCAACATTACAAAACATGCAAAGTATGTAAAGCCATAAACATGCAAGACTATGCAAAAATTTGCATGCGTATACAAGACTTCAAAGCATACAAAGTATGTAAAGCTATAAACATGCAAGAAATGTGTATACAAAAATATAATTTAAATAAAAATACATATACATTGAAATCTGATAACCCAAGCATTTAATTAAATGTACATGTATTTTTTAGAATTTTTTAACCTTCACTAAAGATGGAGAGAGGAGTCTGTCCCCAGTGGAGTCGCCAGAAAAATCTGTGAGAAAAATATTTTTATTTTCTTTAAATATTTAAATTTAAAAAAATACTTTCTTTTCTCACGTGATTTGCTTTATTTATATTTAAATATATTTCTTTGAGACAAATCAGAATAGTTTAACATTATACCGCCCCAAAGGACAGATTAATGTTTTACTATCGATTTCAAATAAAGAAATCTATAATTTATTTCCCTTATCAGAAATAGTATAGGGAATGTATAAATCATCTAAGGGATGATGAATATTTTCTCCTATATCTCTAATTAGGAAAATAAATTATATATTTATCTCCATAATCAAATATAGAGGCTATTTGACCCGCCTATAAGAGCAAGTCAAATATCCACCTATCCTTTGATTAAAAGAGTAAATTTTAAATATATATAAAGCGACGTCTACATTCACAGATTTCCCCCCTACTATAGAAAGGAACTAATATAGAGTTTATTTTAATCTGGGATCTAGACTCCCTATAGGGGCAAGCCCCTATAGTTAATTACATCTCCTAGGAGAATACTCTCGATTAAAGTGAAGGTTAAAGAATTTTAAAAGATACATGTAAATTTAATAGAAATGCTTGGGTTATGAAAATTTTAATGTATAAGTTTTAGATTATAAATCTCCAAGTTGAATTTAGATTTTTGAATTTAAGAGTGATAGAAAAGATGTGGATAAGAAGAACTCACTACACCGGGGGCTATGACCCGGTGGTTCCGCCCGTAGCACCCCCACCGGAATGAATGGGGGTGACTGATGCTCGCACTTGTTTGTCCAAATAGCTCCAATGTACCTCGCAAATAATAGAAAAGGAGCAAATAGAAAGTGAGCGTAGAGACTATTCATAAAGAAATGCAAGTAAACAAGAATATGAAAAATAAACAATCTAACATTTATATTCATATAACATATGCATATCACTATAAAAATAATAATAATAAAAGAATTTTCTAACATGCAACACGAGGAATGACTATATAGACCATGTGAAAGATCTATTAACACATGATATGGAGACTCATTATCATAGAATATGAAAGATAACAAAACATAGAACACATGGGAGTTTAATGAAACACAGGAGAGCTCGCTAATATGGCACATATGTCTATACATAAAATAATATTAGAGTTTACCAATATAAAACATGGAGGAGGATTGTGCATAAAGTATGTGAGGGTTTACTAACATACACATGAAACATAGGAAATTTAAATGTGTTTACATGTAGCCATTATTATCAACCCAACGAAGATACATCTAAACTACATGCTAAATGAGGTAGATTATAAACAAAATTGAGTTTATGTATATTATATACATGTAAATGCCACCCTAACAACACATGATAAATCATAACTCTAACTTATACTTCAAGAAATTATTTGTTCCAAAATCATTTTTAGTGATATTTATCATTGATAACTCTAGGTACTCACATGGCATTTGAAATTTTAAGAGAAGAATGACATATACACAATTGAGGGAATACAATCATCTAATTACACATGAGCGCGAGAATAATGAATCATATATGATGCTCATAATTCATTGAAGCTAACAAATGAGATTTAATCGCAAAGTTTGTATGCATATGTATATAATGAATCTCATCCGATTACAAAATTTTCTCATTCATGCCTATATCATATTCCAACTTTGATACACCTTGAATTGTTTCTATACGTGCTTAGCGCTTGCAGTCAAAACATTAAATAGATGGAGTTTCCTAGACAGTTGTAAACCTATTCATTATATGATGTCAAACATACTTCTAATTAATCATGAATCATAAAATTTACATGGATACTTCACTAGGTTTCATTCATAAGATGCAATGTCACTCTCTGACGATAAATCACAACAAGACATAGAACAAGTGAAACTCATACATGAAGGTAATCAAGGCATCTTCACATAACTATACATGTATACATACATTGGGGCACAACTACACATCATAAATCTTCTACCTATTCACGATTCTCAAAATGCAAGCAAATCACATTTGTGATATTTTATTATCGTTGATATACACATGATATAGGAAAAATAACTATCCAACTACGATAAGTATGAAAATTATGAATTGCATATGGTGCTTGTAATTATTGAACTTAAAAAAAAAAAAAGTTTCATTGCAAATTCTACATATACAATTTCTTACAAAATTATTCACATGTGCATAAATTCCTTCCGATCATAAACCAAAATCTATCTAAATGAAATCTCATTATTTGATATGAGATTTTAATTACATACACACTTCCTTAAATTAAACCTTGAAAAGTTAAGAGCATGTTTCTATCTATTGAAATGAAAAAGTTCTTTCTTTTTTTTAAGAATGATAAAATTAGATCATGAAACAAACTGATCATATGAAAATAATTAAGTAGTAATAGTGAGTGCAAAAAGCAAATTCTCAAGATTAAAGATAATAGCAATTAATAAAAAAAAATAACTCAAATATAATAATCGTTTTTTATATTATAATATATATATTAATATATATATATAACTATATATATTAGGTATATCATAATATATATAATAATATAATAATATATAAGTAATATAATATAAATATAATATATATATATAATATATAATAATTGCTTTACACTAGAGAATATATCAAAGAATAACAAATTCTAGTGAATTTAATACACATGTTCAAATTAAAGAATTACCTAATTTATATAATTAATCATTGATCTTTGTTTAACATACACATTTTTCTCTAATCGCAACAATGTATTTTATAAAACAATAATCTCTTCTTGAATTACTAACATGATGATTATTCATGAAGATTTCTTAATCTCATATAATCACTCATTTATTTCATTATGCTAACAATGATTGTATAATCAAGCATTTTTATTAATAAATTGTCTCAAGACGAGAAAATAACACAACAATCTCTATATTCATCTAATTGACACAAATTCATGAATGGGCATGAAGAAAATAGAGGAAAAATATTATAGATGAGTAAGCACATAAGCATCAAATAATGTATTCATTTTTCTTACAAAATCGCATATGATATGAACAAGGAGAAGGTTACTTGATAAACATTATATTGATCCCTCATTAAAATTGTGAAAAAGAAACACTATAAAACAAGGTGTAATTATTTATAAAATATGCATCAATTCCTCACAAAAACAAAAGGGATGAATCACAATCTGCAGGATTTTATATAAAAACATCAATGAGAACTATCCAAAAAACTATGTAGGAATTTTTATACAAAAAGCAATGAGAATTTATCAAAATCTGTAGCGATTTTTACAAAAAAAATAGTTGAGAAATAACCGACTTAATCTAAGAGTATTTAAATGATAAATCTGTTGGCAAATCCCACAAAAACAATGAGAAACTTGATTTATTCAAGAATATTTATATGATAAAAGTCTGTACAAAATCCTACAAAAACAGATGAGAATTGTCCAAATCTGTAGAAATTTTCAACACAAAACAGTGAGATAACGGCTTAATAAGAAGTATTAAATGATAAAATCTGTGTCAAATCCTCACAAAAACAGCTGAGAAACTTGATTTTGTTCAAGAATATTTTTATGATAAAAGTCTGTACAAAATCCTCACAAAATAGTGAGAAAACTTGTTTAATCCTATAGTAATTAATGGATAAAAATCGTACATGCTATTTAACTTTCAAGAGAAATCAGCAAACCTTTTCCAAATTTAGGAGGATAGAATCGTGGAAAGAAGGGAAATACTGTACATGTATGGGCGGCTGGTCCCTTCCTCTCCTTTGCTTGAACTTAGAGAAAATGAATAGAATGAGTTGCCTAAGTTGGTGGATCGTAGAGAAAGGCAAACAGTCAACTTCCTTCATGTCTTCTTCCAAAAGAAACGAACAGCAAGCAAGCTTCTTCTCTCTTGGTTAGATGGACAACAGCTCTAGCTATAGAAAGAGGAGTTGCTTAGTCTGTTTGTTGAAGAGGTTTCACGGCAGGGCAAGGACATTGGAGTGGACTGCTGAAATTTGCTAAAGAAGTGGTTGAAATCTGCTGTACAAGGAAACGATGGACAGATATATTATAGACCATTCTTCTTCCTCTTGCTTGGACGGCTTAGAACGAAGGAGGTAGCAGCTGAGACACGAGGGAGAGCTTGCCCGGCCCTAAGCAGCTCCGAAATGGTAGGAAGGTCTCTCTCAAAGGGGCGGCTGCTTCTTGAGAATTGATTGATCGTGGAATCCTCCCTTAAAACCAAAGCGCCTAATGCTATTATAAAAATCAAGACACATCATCCCTTCAAAAGATGATTGGATGGTTAATATCAAATGCTAAAATCAAGAGAGATTTAAGAGTTAAATGACAGAAAAAGGGTAGATTATACAAAACTAAATTAATAATGTTAACATTTCAATTTAAATGGGCCAGTTAGTTTGTAATAATCGAAATTGATTTGACTCGAGAGACATTAAATTGAGTCGATTAAATCCATGGAGCTTTAAATTGACTACGAATTGGTCGGCTCAAATTCACAATCGACATGCAACGTCGAGGAGAATCAAATTCAAAAAAGAGTCAAAGAGAGGTCGATTGCAAGATTGATTGTAGGCTCGGATGATTGTAGCGCAAGGTGACCTCATAAAAAAATGAGGTCAATAGTGACTTTTTTCTTTTATCCTACTGCAAGCATATGCGCATGGTGGATATCAAGTTTTTTGGTTGAGAGAGCCCGACAGAGTCCTTGGGAGGCATTCATCACCACTCTTTCCTCTTCATATCATTGCAGGCAAATGCGTCGGGTGATTGTGTTGAGTGTTCTTACTTGATACTACTTTTGACATATGTGCCAAGTAAAGACCCTGTCACAGGCACATACATCAGGCAACGGTGACTTTTTTCCATTTCTTCTACTACAAGTATATACGCCAGTTGGACATCAGGTTTTCTGGTTGAGAGAGTCCTACAGAGTCCCTGGGAGGCATTCCTAACCACTCTTTTCGCTTCACATCATTACAGGTATATATGTCAGATGATTATATTGAGTGTTCTTAATTTATATTAATTTTGACATATGCATTAAGTAGAGACTCTGTTACAGGCACATACATCGGGTAGATGTAACTTTTTTCCTTTTATCCTACTACAAGCATACGCGTCGAGTGGACATCAGGTTTTCTGGTTGAGAGAGTCCGATGGAGTCCCTGAGAGGCATTCCTTATCACTCTTTCTTCTTCACATCATTACAAGCATATATGCAGGGTGATTGTATTGAGTGTTCTTACTTTGTACTACTTTTAGCATATACGCCAAGTAGGGACCCTGTTGCAGCCACATACACCGGACAGAGGTGACTTTTTTTTTTACTTTTGACCTACTATAGGCATATGCATCGGGTGGACATTAAATTACCTGGTTGAGAGAGCCTGATAGAGCCCCTTGAAGGCATTCCTTACCACCCCTTTGTACCTTCTATCTTATTTTTTTGATAAACTCAAGCAGATAGTTGGTTTAATTTACTACTTTGCTTTGGTTCTTTCCTCAGCTCTGCCCTTGCTATAGGGTAAGGCCAGGAGAGGATCTCACTACTAGATCACCATTCGATGATCTTTTACTTGCTTACTTTGCTCTTTTGCTCTCCCCTTGGCTCTGCCCTTGATATAGGATAAGGCTAAGGGAGAATTCCTTTACTACATTACTTTAGTTCTTTCCTCGACTCTACTCTTGCTATAGGATAAGGTCAGGAGAGAATCCCACTACTTTTTCACCTTTTTGGTGATTCTTTACTAAGTCACTTAGGTTCTTTCTTCAGCTCTGCCCTTGCTATAGGGTAAGGCTAAGAGAGAATCCCACTAATTTTTAACCTTTTTGGTGATCTTTACTTTGGTTCTATCCTCAGCTTGGCCCTGGATATAGAATAAGGCCATGAGAGAATCCCACTACTTTTTTACCTTTTGGTGATTTCTACTTTACTTCGGTTCTTTCCAAGGCTCTACCCTTATTATAGGGTAAGGGTAGGAGAGGATCCCCCTACTTCTTCACCTTTTGGTGATCTGTGTTGTTGCTCCTTACTCCACTTTATTTGTCATATTCGATCAATGCCAACATGAGCAGTTCACCAGCTTGTTCACTGCTCTTACTGCGGATCCATTTGTTGATCTTATTTTTCTCTAAACCCTGTATCCAAGGGGTTAATCTAGTCAAATTGACCAGGTAAGACCCCAAGGCCCCTCCCAATCAATTCAGTGGGTCAAACTAAATTTATTGAGCCCAAACCTAGGCCTGGGGTCAAACAGGTTGACCAGGTCATCCTGGGTTGACCTAGATTGACCCAATTTTCCTCCCTTTTAAATTTAAATCCAATCCAGAGCTACTCAAGCTCAATTCTCCTCTCCACTGGACTTAGTGGGTCAGACCTAACCCATTGGGCCTGAACCTGTGCCTTAGGTCAACTTGGTTGCCAGGTCAACCCAGATTAACGCAATTGGTCCTTTTGAACCCAAATTAAATTTCAATTTGTTCAAAAGCCCCTTTGACTCAAATTCCCACTCCTTTAGACCTATTTGACTCGGTTGACCAGGTTAACCATTGACTTGGTCAACCCAAGTATTAAATAGGTCAAATTGACATATTTAGGTCAATTTAAGACCTTTTAGTGTTTTGGAGTGTTTCCTAATCCTCTTTAATGCAAATCCTGTGCTAATCAAGCCAAAATCCCTCCTAATAGATTTTAGAATAGATCTAGGCTGTTCCCTAACCTTGGCCTATAAAAACCCGATTCAGGGTTCCAAGGAGGGAACTTTTGCTCTTTCTCTCTCTCCAAGCTCCCTCATTCTTTGAGATTTGGTTTGAGAGCTCCCACAACCTTCCTCCACCCTTTCCAAGTCAAATTCGATCGGTCAAAGTTGCTGATGGTGAGTTCTCTGGCGACCCGAGGGCTTAGAGCTTCCAAAGCCTTTTCTAGATGATCTATTGCATTTTAAAATGCAAATTCTTCTACAACTAGGAGTTTGGACAGTCTACAAGTCTAACAAGCCTATATACGGGTCAAACCGTCCATTAACTAAGGTGAATTTGTAAACCCTAGCTTAAGACACCTAAAGTTAAATAGCTTTTTGTATAGCATGTTTTAGGTCGTACTTAGCATCCACCATGACTACTCTTCATTCATAGAGCTTGTGTTTTAAATTTTACTCAATTTGGTCCACCCGATCATGAGAATGAGATGATTATCATTCTAGGGTTTTGGTTTACTCTATTTTGATAGTGTACAAGATCTCGACCA